AAGAATTTTGCAAGTCCTTGAGGGAAGAGGGGCCCGACTTCCCAGTGGAGGGAGCGAGGAGAGTGGCAGCTGCCCCCCGAAGGGAGCTGGCGGCCCTACCAGTCTGGGAGGAACGTCTAGGGGAGGCCGCAGCACCTGCTTCAGGCACCGGTGGGCTCCTCTCAGCTTGGCGGGTATCTGGAACGGGGTGTGGGTTGTCATGTCTGCTCGTGCTTTCTGCTAAAAAGCTGCTGATCTGTATGTACTCTTATGTTTTTTGTCTCTGGTTTGCCAGGGCCTGGGAGGAGTTTCATGGCCTGGTGAACAGCAGCGGCCGCTGATCGGACGCTCCCCCTCTGTCTCTCACACTCAGGGTAGGGCCTTGTCTATCTTCTCCGTAACCTTGTAACATACCTCTCAGCCATAGGCCCCCTCTTCCCAAGGGATCACCTACTTGGCCAACTTTGTTGCCTGCTCCAGCCTCCTCTTTGACTGATTATCTCAGTCTCAAAATAAAATAAGAGTCCAAAACCACTTAGTCCTCTGTGGTGAGCCCCTGGGCAGGCTGCGTAACCTCACCCACTGTACCTTTGTTTTCTCTTTTGGGAAATGAAGTTCCCTGGGCTCGGCTCTTGTCTCTTCCGGTGCCAACATGCACGGTTACCAGTGTGCCCAGATACTTTATTCTGCACAGACGCGGCCATTTTTAAGCCGGCTTGCAGTGCCCCGTGACCGGCAGGGCTGGTCCCAGGCGGCTTGGGTAAGGTGAGAGGTATGTCTCTTGTTGGCTGGTGTGCTTGTCAGTGGTGAGGGAACAGTGGCACCTTCAGGGCCTCAGCAGCGGAGGTGATGACAGGGCTGTGGCAGAGACTGTTCCAGGTTTTACGGTAACTGGATCATCAAAGTTCCTGGCAGGGAGCAGCCTGGGGGTGGCAAAGGCGAGGTCAACGGAAGTGTTCCTTCAGGACCATGTGTGTGTCAGCTAAGGGTGCCAAGTCCACGACTGTGCAGCAGAGGGAGTCGGGTACCTCTGTTCCCATGAGGGAAGTGGGTGAAAGGACAGTCTGCCTGTGTCTGGCTAGGAGCGTCTCCCTGGCCCCCGCTGCCCACCTGCACCCTAGGAAATAGAGAACGTCCTGAATTCTGCTAGCAAAGAACGTGCAGGTGCAGTCGCCGCTCCAAAGCCCCGGGAAGCGTCCCGGGAAGGAAATGAGACTCAGCATCCTTCAGAGGGGGGGCGGCACAGGGGTGGCAGCGCGCTCTCTAGAGGAGCAGTCCCGATCCCCACGCACCAGGCGGTGCGCGCGAGTCGTCTTAGAATAGTTTGACGCCTTTATTATAAATTCAGGCTTTAGATGCTTTGATTTCTCATACTGCAATTTAGAGGTTTTCTCTGCAAAAGGGTCATCATAGAACCCTCAGGTGGCTGCTCGGTCACACGGGAAGGGGTGAAAACACGCATCTCTTCTACCGTTGGGTGCATTGGTTTGCAGATTGAAAATCAGATAAATTCAAAATAAGTTAACTTTCCAGACACCCGGTGCTATAGTAGAATTGTTTTGAACAATGTTGCCCTTGTAATCCTGAGATTCCCTTTTTTTTTTTTTTTTGCTTTTATGTCCCTGAAATTGGGATTTTTCACAACGAATGTGGCAAGAAATATTTCTGTCATAGTTTGATTGGCAGTGTTTACTTTTTCTAGCACATAAAATGATGGTACCTTTAAAATCAGTAGCACAAATTCATGAAATAAAAGACTAAATGAGTTGAAATGGTCCAAAAGAAAGAAAAATTGCAAGTGTTTCCGGCTCCCTTCAGCGCAGCCGGTCCCCAGGAAGCGCCTGGGGCTTGCACCCACAGTCACGCTCGCGCACTGCCGTGCTGGAGCCTTTGCTCCCCCGTTGCCCCCCACCCCCACCCCCACCCCCGCCATGTCTCCTTCATACAGCACACGGCGGGGTGGGGGGGGGGGGCGTGTGCTGGAGTCGGGGCCAGCCAGAGCCCCTCCATGGCCTGACAGACTTGAACTGGAAAAGGCTTCGCATTTCGCCTCTGCTGATTGAGCCGTCAGAGAGGTGGGAGTGTTTCAAGAAGACGCTCACACTCCGCTCACGTGTGTGATCTGGAGGTCCCGGCACTTGAGCTTCTCATCCTCTGTCCTTTCCCCCCTTGCAAGTACGTCGCTGGTGATCGGTGATGAAACAAAAACTTTTTAAGTAATAATTCTTGAGCCACCAGCACTTTCCCCAGCTTCTCTGGTATTTTATAACAGACTTGTGGCTGCTCATACTTGAGGACTGTCACTGACCTCATTAATAAGCACCCCCTTTGCACCAGGGCAGAAGCCGCAGTGGCTGCTGGGGCGGGGCCTGGTGACCAGTGTCTAGATTGGCGTGCACAGGGCGCGATGGGTGCCGCGGGGAGGGAAGTTGGCGCAGTCTCCCCGCGGAAGACTAAAGGTGGACACTTGCCCTGCTGACCCGGGAACGGGTCTGCTTCGGTGTGCAGGGACGGGGAGGGGAGGAAGCCAGAGGCGGCCTCGGGTGGACAGCCCACGAATGTTCCTTTGAAGGCCGTGTGCAGCCGGCGCAGGGCCGGGGTGCTGGTGAGGGCAGCGAGGTATCCTTCGGAGGAGCTGCCCTCACCCCTCTGTCCTCCACCCCAGGTGCCACCCTCCGCCGTAGCTCATTCTGCCCAGAGTTTGAATTTGGCCATTTCTCTTCAAGTACAAAAAGAGGAGAAAGTTCTTTCAGAGTATTTGAGCAACAGTTTGCCCCAAGATGCTGGGGATGGTGAGATTGGAAGCCAGTTTGGGATGCGAGCATCTCTGAGTATTTCTGACCCTTCCTCATCAGGACGAAGGGTCATCTGGTAGAGAAAGGCCTTTTGACTTTCTCGAGCCTGTGGGTCTCTTGACCGCCGTGTTCTGCGTGGTGACAGCCCACTGTCGCGACGGTGCTAGGGGGCTGGAGGTGGCTTTGGGGCGCTCACTTAGGGTTTCTAAATTCTAGCTTGATTTTAAAAAGACAGAAGCATATTTTCTTAAAGTCACCTGTGACTTCTGTCCCTTCCTGCCCACCTTTCCCTGCCTCCTAATCTTGTGCGCTGCAGCCTGCAGTGAGGACGCAAGGAGGGCGGGCTCCCAGCTGGGTGGAGGCCAGCGCACCCCTCACCCTACACACAGCTGCCCCCGCTCCGCCCTCCTCTCCTGCACGCTGGAAACAGCTGGTTCTTGGCTCCTTGACGTTTCTCTCCTTTTCCACTGTACAAATAGAGCTTAGGGCGACAGAGGCCTAGGTTTTCTGAGTGTGAAGAAAATTCTGAAAATAGAAATTATGAGAGTAAATGTTAGGTATCTGGACGGCAAGGCGCCATGGAATGCTTCCTGTGCCGCCAGGAGAGAACTTTCTGGCCCCGCCCCGCCCAAGCAGGGAGTCTGTGGCAGGGCTTGTCCTGAAAAGCCTCTTGTTGAGATCACACAACAGCTGACAGGGCTGGGTCCAGGCCCTTGCCTGCCATCTCCCTCACCCCATAACGGTCATTCCCCCACAACCAGGAAGCTCTCTGACTTCCCCTTCTGCTTGCTCGGCTCATCCCTTCCTGTTGGCAGAGGGGTCCTGCTGCGGGCCGGGCGGCACGCGGTCTCCCCGGGCGTGGTGACAGCGTGCACGGGTGACCTGCTTGTCTCTGATTAGGATCAGCTGGGCCCTTTGCTGGCTGCTCGTGGCCCAGTGGGGTCTGTCCTTTCAAAGGGCCTTTGAAAAAGTTGGTCATCCCATTAAGTCCTTGTGTTTCAGCTTTAGCTCCTTAGTAGGAAATCAGTGAAGCGCTCAGTAGCCGCTGATACGTGGGCTGCGCAGTCATGCGCGTCAGTAAGAAAAATACAAGTGGGCTCTCGAGATAGCCCCAGCTCCTCCCTAGCCAGAGTCGCCCGGGCCTGTCGGCCTGCTGCTCGCGCCAGGGGGGCCCGTTAGCCCCGGCGGGAGGAGCCTCCCCGTCGTCAGTCTGCTGCCCTGAACCCCTTGCCTGAGCCCCGTTCATGAACTGCAGTGTTAAGGGGGTCGGTTAATGATGATTCCAGAGGCGGGCGAATGGGATCTGTTTCCCAGTTAAGTTTGAAGCGCTGGGCTGGAGAGCAGCAGCCGGGGCGACCGTCAGAACCCCTTCCAGCCCCGAGGGCTCCGGACACGGAGGGCTGTGGGGACTCTGAGGCCCTGCTTGGCTTCTCGTGGGGGACGGGGAAGGTTCCAGGAGTGGGTGGTGACCCAGCCGGCAGAGGGCCAGGGAGAGGGCGCTCTCGGGCTGTCAGCACCGCGGTCTGCGAGAGCTGCAGGGAGCTCCTCACGTGAGGGCACCTCGCGTTCTCCTGTGGGAAATCCTTTTAGAGGCAGCTGTGAGTGTAAACTCGGGGTTTTCTGGTTGGTTGGGTACCTGCACAGTCACGTGGCTCGTTTCCCTCGAGTGTGCATGAGAGGGAGGTCCCCTCCTCCTCTCCCCACCCCTCCACCTGCCCTGTTGCCTCCCGCTGCCCCTGCCCTCGCCGCCCAGGTAGCTGCCGTGGGCGGTGTCCCGCGTGACCTTCCTTCATGCCTGTGCAGGCAGCTCTGGCCACTGGCCCTGTTGCTCCCCCCCCCCCCCCCCCGCACAAAAAGGTGCGTGCTGCGCACCCACTTCTGCGCCCCAGCAGATCCGTTTCTCTGGGCGAGCTCGCCAGATCAGTGAAGACCTTCCTCGGCTTGTTTTTCGAAGCACACAGAGTCCCTTTGTGTGACTGTGCCCCCACGTGACGTGAACTGGTCCCCTGTGGACCAGCCCGGGGCTGTGTCCAGGCTGCTATGACAGGGCCGAGCGGCAGGTTGGGGGCCCCAGCAGGGAGGCCACGCTGGTGTGAGATCGCAGGGAGGAAGGGCCTGGGTGTGCACAAGGGCCGGCGCGGCCGGGTGCAGGCCCTCCCGGTGCGTGTGGAGGCCCGTCCATGGTCTGTGTATTGAATGCTGTTTTCTCCCATTTTTTTCTTTCAGGGACAATTCAAGCTTTCGAAATACAAAAATCACATTGTGAAAGTACACAGCTGGCAATAATCCTTCCCTGTGTGTGTGTGTGTCCAAACGGATGGGCGGTCTCCAGCTGGCCCTCCCTCTGCTCACTGAAGGGACGTCCCCGAGCCGCGGGCTCCCCTTTTGCACACTCCTGGAGGACAGAGTCCGCTAGACACCCTCCAGCATCGCTGACTTTATAAAGCGGAGAAAATGGAAAACGTGACTTTGTAATAGACAAACTTTTTTTATGGGGTTCTGTGGGGGGAGTTAGCCTTTCGCTTGCTGTGTGCTGTCAGGCACCCTGGGCCTCCTGCTGGCTCTTCTCTGCTGCACGAAGGGCGTCGGTGGCGTGACCGCGTGTGCGAGCCAGAGCGGCGGACTGAGAGTTGTCAGTATTAGGAATGTCTGTGCGCATAGGGAAGAGCCTTTGTCGGAGGGTCCCGGAACAGCTGTAAATGCTCTCGCCTGGCGCTGCCATTAAATTATTGGGACATTCGTTTCTTGCTGTCCCCTCTTCCCCCAAGCCCACCACTTTCTGAAAATGTGTTACTGACTTTGTATAGACTCCTGCCTTATGCCCTTGGTCTTCCTGTGCGGGACTCTCCTCTTAGGCACTGCTGCACTTACAGAAAGTTCACCCGGCGGCCCCGGGCCCCACTGAGGCGCGGACGGTGGGCCTTGGCAAAGTGGCCTGGAGCTGAGTCCAGTTTGAGTTGAAGCTGGATTATAATACAGGTTCCAAGTGCAGGGGTGGGGGCGGGGGCGGGGGCACTGTCTGAACCACTTCCCAGGTGAGCAGGGCCTTTGTGCCCAGCCTGTTCCTGTGGGTCTTCATGTGCCCCTCGTGGAGGAAGGGAAGCAAAGCTGGGTGTTACCAGCTATTCACCCTTAGGGCACGTTCTCTCTCCTGAACCTGGGACATCTGAAGAAGAGGTGGCCGAGCTGGGCGGCTCTGCGTGGCTGTGCCTGTCTTCAGTCGTCAGAGAAACCTGATTCCAGTCCTCGTCACCGTGTGTGTGTCAGTAAGCGTGTGTGCACTTGTGGATAACTGGACACGCCTGCAGGCTAGCATGCAACCCAGGAGCCAGCGACCTGACTCCAGAGCGTGAAGTCAGGTCAGAGGTCCCTAGGGCTGAACCAAGTACTGAGTACGAGTCCTCCAGCAGCCTCCAAGGAGCACTGTGTTGCTTGGCTCTTGGGAGCAGAGATCGATCGCTGTACCTTAAATTAAGGCCTCTCCTAGAAGCTGACTTTGAAGGCCGGGGCCTAAGCCTCCTGGTCCCAGAGAATTTGTAGGAGAGTAACAGGCATTTCCTTATTGTATGTATATTACTCTTCAGCTGTCCAACTCCTGCGCACGCTCAGCACCACTGTCTTGGGACGCATTTTCCTAAAAGAACAGGGGCGTCCAGGAGCCAAAAGGGAGGTGCTTCCATATGACAAGTGAAGTTAGAGTCAGTAAGAAGCTCTAGCAGTGATTTAAAACTCCAGGAATATGAAGAGTGAATTCTAGCGAAGGGTTCAGGCAAACAGGAGCAACATTGGCTAAAATGGGGAGCAAAGTCTGCCTCCTGAGATTTATTTAGACCCCCCAAGGAGACCTTCGCTTTTTCCTAAGCTGAGATTTGCCAGAAAACTCCAACGAGACGAGACATTTGAATTGGCCCCCCTTGGGGCAGCCACCTGACTGTTGGGTGTGAGGGTGTGCACGTGTGTGATCTCCAGGGGCGTGATCAGGCTCAGCACTTAGGTGTAGTGCCCATATTCGTATTTTTGCTTGCTTTCTTGGTCTCGCATTCAGATTTTTAAATCTGTGTTGCCCAGAGCTGCTCGTGTTCCTGCTTCCTCTGTCACTGCAGTATTGAGAAGTTGCTGTGTGTGCAGACAAGAGGCCCTCCCGTTGGGCAGCACCTTACCTCCAGATGCTCTGCCTGCCGGCTTTCAGTGGGGGATCCAAACCACCCCCTTTCCAAAGTAGCTTCAGAGGCCTTCACGTCAGGCCTCGGCTCCACTGACATAGGACACGGTTATGGTGTCACCAAATGAGGGAAGGTTCCCCAGGGCCAACCCGACAGCTGTGTGCAGTTGCTGCTGGGGATGGGGAGTCAGTTTCCGCTCTGACCAGGGGCTGTTCCCCATAACTCCTTTCTTGGGTTTTCCGTTTGAAATTGGTGCCGCCGCCTCTCCAGCGCTCCGCTCATTTATCCTTTTGCTCACATGTGTTTTCTGTCACCTTGGCATTGGCAATCCTTTTCCATCCAGAGACAGGCTTGTGGTCCACAGTGCTCCAAGAATGAATTTCCAAGTACAAATATTGGCCAGAGGAGGGGGCAGAGGCTGTGAAAAGAGTGATTTACTGTTGCACTTTGAGAGCAATTGTCTACTGCGGTAATAAATGGAAAATATCAGCCAGAACCAGGTTGTGGACTCTTTAATACCAGGGAACCGGGGAGACTGGTAGTTTGCTGCTACTGATTCTCTGCTCGGTGCATATGGGTCTTCCTTTTAAATGCACTCCAGGGCAGAGTGTGTGAACAGTCAGACAATGCCAGTGCTGGTGACAGATGTAAACATTTTCTCGAGTCAGTTTTCATCCTTGCCAGAACTCCATTTCCAACTTTAACATCAAAATATAGTTAAAATTAATTTTATTTTTTTAAAGATTTAGTTATTATTTATGCATACAAGAACTGGGGTACAGGCCAGAGGTGTGGGGATGAGCAGATTCCCCAGAGGCAGAGTGGGGAGCAGAACAGGCCGAGTGACGGAAGTACACTGCTGAGGGGGGCAGCAGGTGAGTCCGGAGAGGTCTGCTGCGCCATGTGGGTAGCTCCCTGGCCAGGGATCGCTCGTGCTACAGTGGCTGTGGATCGCTTCATAGGTGGCGTCTTAACCCCTTGTGCCACCAGGGAGGCCCAAAATGTAATTTTAATTCTCCACTTGGAGTAAGGGATATTGAAATGGAGGGAAACTCAAAAAATTAGATCTGGAAGTAAGAAATCACTACAAGCTAGGCCTGGAATGTTTTAGATGAAGTAGCTTATTAGCTCAAAGATGGCTCTTTGCGGCAAACCGGTGAGAGCCAGGGGCCAAGTGCAGTACAAGGCAGAAAAGCTGGGGAGAACCTCAGTTACCCTGCGGGTATCAGTCACGGTGCAAACAGGACACAGGGACCATGCAGGTTATTTTAACAATAGGATAGAGCTGTTGACTCAGTTGCCAAAAAGGCACAAAGAAAACAAGACGGAGGAAGCAGCCCCCGCAGAGCTGCATCCAGCGCGGGTGTGTGGTGTCCGGGCACGCGGAAGCCGAGCCGGCTCTGAGCACGTGGGCGGCGGCGAGGGGGTCTGACTGTCCCACCCGCTGGCACCCCCTGACCGGAGCAGGAAGGAGCCGTGCCCCTGAGCATCCCACTGGAGAAACCCCGTGGTGTCCAGCTGGCAAAGCGGGAATGGTTGCCGAGTTCTGTTCCTATACCACAAGGAAAACGGTGCCTGTGAAGCTGGGACGGGCTTAATCCCTGGTGCGGCCCCTCCAGTCACGGTCCTCGCTCTCCGCACACACGTGAACTTCAACACTAGGACAAAAGCAACTCTGTTCTCCGACATAACGGACTGAGAGATTCTTACCCTTCCCCAAGCAGGAAATGGAGAGCCGGTGACCACTTGGGGATCTCTGCGCTCTGCTGACTCCTTGTAGCCCCATCTGATTGGAACTGAGCGTAAAGTGGTATCTCCAGACTGAAGTCCAATGTTAACTTCCAACACAAATTGAGATGGGAGAATAAGATACAGCAGTGGAGGGAAAATAGGTCGAGTCCATGAGGCTGGAGTGAGTGTCAGCTCCTTCGCCGCCGCCTAGACGGTGTCGCCCGCGCCCTCAGCCGGGGTTTCGGCTGCTCGCGATTCCTGAGTTGGCGTGGCTAACCCGGGCTCTTCCTGGCGGGTCTGAACGCACTGTCTTCCATTTCCCATTCGTGTCTGCTGTTTCTCAGAGGAAATCTAAAGGACCCACTGGCTTCCGCCATGATCTTTCCTACCCTGTTAACGTCTCAGGGCCCCAGTTTCCCCCTAGGTAATTCCCCCCCACCCCCCAGCAAATAATCCCCAAAGCTCCAAACAGCCAAGCGAGCCTCAGTTTGCAAGAGCTTGGAAGAGTTTCTTCTTTGAAAACCCAGAGCCCTGACCTCAGCCATGTCCACGGGTCTCTTGGTGAGCAGCTTGGGCTGCTTTCACCGCAGTCCCCCTGCTCCTGCCGCCCCCGCCAGGCTTCTTTGTCGCTGAATCCACCTCTAGCCACTCGTCACTCCCGATTCTCTGCTTCATTCCCGGCCAGCCCCTGCCTGCACTGATCCCATGACTGGTTGCCAAGCCACTGGGGTCACAGCTGGGGTCAAGGGCTTGGTGCACCTCAATCTGGAGAAGGCAGGACAGGAGCCTTACCTGGAAAGAAGTTTGGAAGCCCTTGGCAGAAACGAGTTACAAAGAAGTGAAATCTGGGCCTCCCTGGTGGTGCAGGGGTTAAGTCGCAGCACTATGAAGCTATCATCAGCCACTGCAGCATGAGTTCGATCCCCGGCCTGCCAGGGAGCTACCCACATGGTGCAGCAGACCTCTCCTAACCCCGCTGCTCCCCTCAGCAGTGGATTTCAGTTAATCTGCCTGTTCTGTTCCCCACTCTGTCTTGGTGAATCCTCTCACCCCCCACACTCTGGCCTGTACCCAGTTCTTGTATGCACAAATAAATCTTAAAAAAAAAAAAAAGGAAGGAAGTAAAGAGAACTTGGCAGTGAGAGACCTGCCAAACACCTTGGGCAGGCGCTCAAGGTCAGCGCCAGTGGGGATAAGTCAGGCAGTGGATGCTGAAGGACTCAGCGCTGAGGGGCTGCAGGTGGCGCGTTACCGCTTGGTCTTCCTCCCAAGACACATAATCCCAGACTAATCCTGAGCAAAACATCAGACAAATTCCAGGAGAGAGGCAACCTGACAAATACTTCTCAGAGCACGGCCAGCTAAATGTGAAGGGTCCCGGTCGGGATCCAGGAGCAGTAGCTAAAACCGAGCAAGTCTTAGCAAAAGTATGGATGGGTAAGAATAACGTAGCAATAATAGCTCGTTAATTATAGCAAATGTACCATATAAATGTAAGATACTAGTAATATGGAAACTGAGTGGGGAATATATGGGGGTGGTCTGTACTATCTCCTCAATTTTTTTTTGTTCTTAATCTAAAACTGTGCTAAAATATATATAGCCTGATTTTTTAAAGGGGCACAGGAACCAACCTGAAAGAGTTCCCAGTGGTCCAAGTGGATCAACTTGAGCACTAAGGCAAAGAATAAAATAGATAAGTCCTCCCTGGTGGTGCAAGGGGTTTAAGCACAGCACTGTGAAGCTATCCGCCGTCTCTGCAGCGCGAGTTCGATCCCTGGACAGGGAGATAACCCACATGGCACAGCAGACCTCTCCTGTCTCGCCCACTGCTCCCCTCAGCAGTGTATTTCAATCAGTCTGCCTGTTCTGTTCCCCACTCCGTCTCTGGTGAGTCCTCTCACCCTCCACACCTCTGGCCTGTACCCCAGTTCTTGTATGCATAGATAAATAAACCTTTTAAAAAAGAATAAAATAGATAGCCATGAATTTACTCGAATAGAAGTCAGTGATTGAATAATGCATGAAGGAAAAAGGACAGATCTTTGTTACAGAAAATTTCAAATAGAGGAGTGAGGGAGATAATCAGCATGAGAGCACCATAGT